AAGAAAAAGTTGGAGCATGTTAGATCAGGAATAAAACTTTTACAATATTCAGGGTAAAAGGATTTCTGACAAAGAAAACAGGAGAAAAGAATGGAAAGAGGAAGAAAGGGATAGGGAAGTCAACCAATGAAAAAATAAAGCATTGTTTATGTTGACACATGTTACCAAAGTTGTTCCAGGTACTGTTTCATTTTTTATTGTTTCTCCTCCTACAAACTCGAACTCCTTACAGACTGGACAATGTCTTATTCATCTTTGTTTTGCCAGTGCCCAGCAGGATACTTGACAAACAGTCTGTGTTCAGGAAATATTTGTTGGCCTGAATCAAATCATACCAGACTACTAATGAACATAAAATTTCAATTTCATAACTAGTCTCTGGGCATAGGTATATTTATGGCCAGAGACTTTTATAGACAAGCTTTTAAATTAATTGACGAGATTGTGAAAAATATGGAGTTCTGGGCCCCACCCTCGAAATTCCAATCCAGATGGTCTGAGTGGGATGGGTGGGGCCTGGGAATCAGCACTTCCAGCAAATGTGTCAGGTGCTTTTGAAAGCAGCTTGTAAACTAACACGTCACATGCCCTAACCTCTGGATTGTGCTATTATTTTAGACTCTGTCCCTTGAAGCTTGATTTGGAAAGAATATATGACCAACCTAACACATAAATTAACCAGAGAGATTAAAGTAAGAGATGGTAGTCACAGCAAACCAAGACACTTTTTCCAAATGTTAGGTCTTCTTGGTGGGTCTGCAGATTTCTGAGAGCTCCCAGTCTCCAGTGCTGTGACAGACCTAACATAATAGGGACGATGTATGGAGGTCAACACCAACCAAAGGTGCTTAACTGCTTACAGATTATTAACATTTAGAAGGAGATAAATCAAGAGAGGAAAGGAGATTAAATGTGTTAATAGAAAAAAAAAAACCATCAAAATGTTAATACATATGAGACGTTCAAGTTTTCTAATAAAGAAATGTTAATTAAAACCACATTGAGAAACCGGGATGGGGTAAGGGTGAGGGGCTGTTAACTGTGTCTGCAAATAAATGTGAGCTCACTGGGCTGGTAATTTAGAATAGACTGAATGGGTAGGTGACCCTGGTTTGAAGTCAATTATCAAGGATGAATGGCTAGCACTGTTAATTACAACACTTGTAAAAAGGAGTATCACTTCTGCCAACATACTGGGAGCCACCCACAGTCAGTGACCGCAGCCTTTAATCAAGACTACCTAGCCCTGGCTGGTTTGGCTCAGCGGTTAGAGCGTCGACCTGCGGTCCTGAGAGACCCGGGTTCGGTTCCCGCTAAGGGCGCGTATCTCGGTTGCAGTTTATTCCCGGCCCTGGTCGGTCGTGCGGGTGGCAGCCACTGGATGTGTCCCTTTCTCATCGATGTTTCTCTCTCTCTCTCTGTTCCTCTCTCTCCCTCCCACGCTATCTGAACAAAAAAATGGGAAAATGTCCTCCGGTGAGGATAAAAAAAAAAAAAAAAGACTACCTAGCCAGAGGAACCCATGGACAATAACAGAAATCAGGAAAGCATTATTCGCATGGTAGTTATAGATGTCCTTCGTTCAGTATAACCTCTAAGGAAGGTGGGTGTATTCGCCATCATTCCCAGTGAATAGATAAGTGAACTCAGGCCCAGAGGGCTCACTTGACACAAAGTTAATTCCTGGGCGGTAAAAGTTGTGCTGTTAGGTTACATCTCCCTCACCCACTGACTCAACAATAAATCCCATAAAATTATCTGGGATGAGCGTCAACATCCATCGGACACACGATATTCTTCTGGTTTAGGTAAGGTCGGAACCACCTCCTCTCTGCACAGGAGGTCACTGAGATCAAAAGGTATTGTGACAAAGGTAGGGAGCTGTAAAAGGCAGCGCGTGGAGGTGGAGCCCAGATCTGACTCCACAAGTCAGAAACTCAGATAAGGCTTCGGTAGCGGTGCCTGAAAGTCAAAGATGAAAGCCCGACCTACTGTGGAGCGCTTACAGGTACCCCGGAGCGCGGGCTGCGGCCACGCAAAGGGCCTTAGGCGGTTTACCAGAGCTGAGCCCAGGGCCCTGGGGGGCTGTGGGTGGGGTCAGTCGCACTAGTCTGAACTAGGATCTAGAACAGCTAAGATTTACGAAATACCCTTAAAAGCCCTCTAGTCTGCACCCGAAGCTGATGATCATACTTGGGATTTCCCATAACGCAGGGCACGTACTAAGGAGCAGGTCCCGCAGCCCCCGTCCCAGGAGCTGGAGTGGGGCCGGCGCGGACGTGGGTCGGAGCGGAAACCTAAAAGGGCCGGGGGTTCAGTTTAGGTGGCTGGGCCAAGACCCGGGAGAGGAGGCAGCGCTCTGGTTCCGCTCCGGCCCGCGGCAGAGGAAGACGAACGTGGCGCGATCCCGGAGCGGGGAGCGGGGAGCAGGGAGCAGGGAAGGTGCAGTGCGGGGCGGCCGGAGGCAGTAAACCCTGCGGCCACAGCGCGCCCCGGCCGGCGTCCGAGAGCCATGAGAATGCAGGTCCAGGTAACCCCCCACCCCACCCCCACCCCGCCCCCGCCGCTCCCTGGCCTTGGGCGCCACGGGGAACCCACAGCCTGAAGTTCCGCTCGGGGATCTTTCCGCAGCTGGCTCCGAGCGCAACAGTTAGTTCTGGGGGATTGGAAAAGGAGGGCGACCCCGGCCGCTGGGGACCCTTAGGAGAGATGTGAGCTTGGGGAATTGGGGAGAGGAGTGGAGACCTGGTCATGCTTTGGCTCTGATAACGCAGCCAAACCTCAGCCTGGCTGTCACTTAACCTATTATGTCTGGACTGGCACACAGTGTGTGTAAGAACTATTTATTGAGCACATTGTATTTTAGGCATGGTACAAGGTGGTTAGCAGACACGAACTCCTTTTGGCATAGTCTGATTGTTAAGAGAACTTTCTTAGGGGCCAGATCACCTGAATTAGTTTCCCAGTTTCACCACTAGCTATGATCTTGGTCAAGTTACTTAACCTTTGTGGTTTGGCTTCCTCATCTGGAAAATGGGATGATAGTTATAATTTGAGGATTAAATGAAATGCTATATATGCAGTGCACTTAGAATAATGCCTAACATATTTAGCAGGTTGCAAGAGTTTGTGGTTGTTTTAATTTCATCCTGGCAATAATCCCATGAGGTCTAGACCTCAGGAGGGGAGGAAAATGAAGCTGTGGGAGAAAAACAGTTGAGATTTGAACCCAGGCCAGTGCTTTCAAACACTAAGAGCATGGATATTCCATCCATACATCGGATTTTTTTTTTTTTTTTTATCCTCACCCGAGGACATTTTTTCATTTTTTGCACAGATAGAGTGGGAGGGAGAGAGAGGAAGAGAGAGAGAGAGAGAAACATCGACGTGAAAGGGACACATCGAGTGGTTGCCACCTGCACGACCAACCAGGGCCGGGGACAAACTGCAACCGAGGTATGTGCCCTTAGCGGGAACCGAACCCGGGTCTCTCTGGACCGCAGGCCGACGTTCTAACCGCTGAGCCAAACCGGCCAGGGCCATACATCGGATTTTGATCATTCTAGGGAGAAGGTGGATCTCCCTTAACTGCCACAGTGGAAACCGAGTTCTTCAGTTATTTCCCCTGTACACAAATTTGTTGTTTCATTTTTCATCTGCCTTGGATTTTCCCACTATTGATAAAGCATTAGATATTCTGCCTTTACTGGAGTCTGGGTTTAGTTGTAAGTATCTGTCTGGCTGTTTCTTAGTGTACCTCCCTTCCCCTGCATTTTACAACATTTGATGTGGAGCTTGGCATGAACCTTCTTTTTGGGGCTAATATTGGGGACTGGTATCTTCAGGTAGTACTAAACTTGACAGGCAAGGGTTGCTTGTACCCCAGAGGAGAGGGGAAAGACCTAGATAGCATATTGGTGATATACCACAAAATTTGGTCTTATCCTGCCTATTTGCAATTCTCTATCACAGCTAATTTTTTTGTTTGTTTGTTTGGACATCTATGTCCAAACTCTCAAGCATTTGGTAAATAGTGAACCTGAAATATGTCTTGCCTCTTTTTCTTTCTCATTGGGTTTATTTATTTTATTTTTCTTTATTAACTTTAGACAGAGAAGAAGGGAGAGGGAGAAAGAGATAGAAACATTGATGAGACAGAACATCGATTGGATGCCTCCCACATGCCCCCCACTGAGGATTGGGCCCACAACCTGGGCATGTGCCCTGACCGGGAATAGAACTAGCAACCTCTGAGCCACACCAGCCAGGCAGACTGGTTATTTTATTTTATTTTTTCAGATAGAGCGGGAGAGAGAGGAGGAGGGAGAGAGAGAGAAACATTGATGTGAGAGACACATCGGCTGGTTGCCACCCACACAACCCCAACCAGGGCCGGGGACAAGCTGCAACCGAGATACGTGCCCTTAGCGGGAACCGAACCCGGGACTCTCCGGTCTGCGGGCCGATGCTCTAACCACTGAGCCAAATCGGCCAGGGCTTGGTTTTTAATTGTAGGTTTTTAGCATAAGCTGAAGAACCCAAACATTTCAGAGTGACTTTTACCATACTTCTAGTAGAATCATGCAGAGTTGGAAGTGAAAGTGGTCATCCTACCTATAACTCAGTTTTCTTGAGTCACATCAGAAGTCTACATGGCAACTATTTTCTATTTAAAAAATCTCATCGTTAGATAAAATATTTTGATGAGGGTCTCAGTTGAGCTTTTTATTTTTTTCTCATTAAAAATACCGCCCTGGCCGGTTTGGCTCAGCGGTTAGAGCATCGGCCTGCGGTCCGGAGAGACCCGGGTTCGGTTCCCGCTAAGGGCATGTACCTCGGTTGCAGTTTGTCCCCGGCCCTGGTTGGTCGTGCAGGTGGCAGCCACTCGATGTGTCCCTTTCACGTCGATGTTTCTCTCTCTCTCTCTCTTTCTCTCTCTCCCTCCCACTCTATCTGTGCAAAAAAATGGAAAAATGTCCTCGGGTGAGGATAAAAAAAAAAAATATATGGAGTGCTTCATGAAATTTTGTGTTATCCTTATGCCTGTGCCCTGCTGTTCTCTGTGTGGGTCCAATTTCAGGATGTGTGCCACTGAAGTGAGTACCCAGTTGTGATGTTGTTTCTTTTTTACTTTTTAGTTTTTTTGAAGTTGTATATACATATAGTTCAGAGTCAAATAGTTTCACCAGGTTTATCACTGAAAACAGCAGAACCCTCCATCATTTCCTGCTTTTCAGAAAGAGCAATCAGTTCATCTCTTTTAGCTACTTGTTACTTACTCATGTCTTTAAAATAATGTTGATAGTGCTCCTTGATTTTTCAGTTACTCATCAGATATTGTCTTTCCAGCATGGAATATGAGGGTTTAGCTTTCCTTTGCATTTCTGTCCCTAGCTCTCACATGCCTCTTTCCTCTTCCTTCCAAGTATCCTCAGAATATAGTTATCTGATCATTTTTAGTTAGGTCAGTATTTAGTTATGCCTAAATACTATTATGCCTTCCTGTACACCATGAAGAGGTAAGGAGTGTAGTATATGTATTACTTCCTCTCTCTTAACTTTTATTTTCCTCCAGAGTGTTCTTTCTGGGTGTGCTTGCAGAGTTTTCTGTGGAGTTTTCACGAATTTAACTGCAAGTTATTTGCTAGTTATCTAAATCTTCTCTCAAAATGTGCCAGTGCAACAGCTATTGGATCAATTTCTTGAATACAGCTCGCTGACCTGCTTTGGCCATCCAGACTGGTTGCTCTTGATGTTTAACGCACAGCTGCTGTTGGGCTTTCTTTCACCATCGTGTTGGGGATTCCCTTTGCTTCTCTTATTCAAACAGGAAGTTCCCTTTCTACCCCTCATCCTCATCCCCCTCCAATCCAGAGGTGATCAAGCTATTGGATTTGGAACATCTTATTTAGGTATATTATTATACACATATGTATTTGTTGTTTGGCTTGTGCATTTGTTTTTACATAAAAAGACTCATATTGAATATGTTGATACACAATGTGACTCCTTTAAAAATAGTTCCCTGGAGATCTTCCCATTTCAATATATACTGATGCTTTCTTGAATGATATGTTCAGATGAACTGGGTCAATGGAGATCATGCACATAGCATTTTTTGCTACCATTGTGCTTTTCTCTTCATGACCAATTATTCTTCTAGATTCATTCAGCCAACAAGTATTTACTGAGTGTCAACTATGTGCTAAACGCTGTTGCAGAACCTGAGGATATACAGTGAACAAAACCTTTATTTTTGAGGTAGAGAGGAATGGTGAGATGCTTCTTGATGATGCAGTTGGTCTCAGCTGCAGCTTTAGTTAGCTTGTTTTTCCTCTTGTGGAGTACAGACATTATACAATCCAGTCTCTCTCTGTTTTGTCTGTCTCTCTCTTGGGAGAAAATCACAACCATTACAGATTGAACTTTGTAAGTTGGATGCTACCAGAGCAACAGAAACATACCCTTGAGATATAGAAGTAGATATCCTGAATGGATAAAGAAAATGTGGAGTATATGTATATATGTACATAGGCATATATTGGGACATTACTCAGCCTTAAAAAATAAGGAAATTCTGACACATGCTACAACATGGATGAACTGTGAGAGGATATGCTAAGTGAAATAGCCTGTCACAAAAAGATATTATTGTATGATTCCACTTATATGAGGTATCAAAAGTGATCAAATTAATAGAAAGGCAGAAGCTGGGTGGTGAGTGAATTTGGAAGTTGTTTAATGGGCATAAAATTTCAGATTTGCAAATTAACAAATTTCTCTAAAAAATAGTTATCTAGAACTTTGTTGAAGATATGTAAATATATTTAACAATACCAAACTGTACTCTTAAAAAAATGGTTAAGATGGTGAATTCTGCATTATGTGTATTTTACCACAATTAAGGGGAGAAAGGAGAGATTCTCACACAAAATCCTTAATGTAATTTGTCTTATACTCTGAATATGGTGACCGAACCTACTCCGTTCAGTTGGGTTCAGCTTTTGCCTGGAATTCATGACTTTTCTGGGTTGTGTGGTGGGGTAGCAGTGGACTGCCTTGGAAACTTTCTTCTGATGGACTTGGCACCAGAGCATTTAGTGGGTCCCCTTGTTGGGGGCAGGCCAATGCTGTTTTCCCTCTCTCTGCGTGAGTGTTGGTATTTCCATGTCTCTGGGGAAGAAGTTGCTCAGTGGTTTACATATAAACTCCAAGGCTATTCTGGAGTGACTGTTTCTGAGTGGCATGCAGTTGGAGCAGTGAGAAGCGGTCATTGTGTTTTCCTCAGAGTCTGCATTGGATCTCAGGGTTTGGAAGCACGTGCCTCTTCCGAAGCATCCCTGCTTGTTTTGATTGGAATGATTGAAGATGTTTACTCGGCAGCACGAGCAGGTGCTTTCCCAGGCACAGGTTCTGCTGCATTTTTCTTTCTGGCGTTTGCGGTGTGCTGCTCTGGATCCTGAAATGGTCCAGGACCAGATAAGGGTCACATTTCCAGGATTGTGATTGTGCTGAGTTTTGACTGGAGAAATTGGTGGATTTGGTTCTTTTTCTCCCCCTCCCCCACCTCTTCCTAAACTATATGTGTCCATTCTACAGAATTTTCTTTCAGGCAGATTCAAAGCCCAGTGGGGTGAATGACTGTGGGCAACCGAAGTTCTCTCCTCAGCTTACTGATTGTGGACTTGGAACATCTTATAAAAGATCATTTTTGACATGAGCAAACCACCTCGCCCAGGGGAGGCAACATCCCTGTCTGTCAGAACCTTGTGCTCTCTGTAGCAGGTCCTTGGAGAAAACACACTGTCCAGGGTTTTTCCCTCCTGCCTTGGGGACAAGTTTAATATTCTCTTTATTTTCCTAGCACCAGGGTGTGTTGGGATCTGAGCCAGGAGGTCCCACTTAAATTGCTCATCCAAACCAAAAGGACTTAGGTTTAGGCAAAACTTTGCTTGTGCATAGAAGATCATCGTCTGAGAATCATGTGCCATTTGGGAATGCCAGCATGTGCTTACCTTTCTCACTGACTTCCTCAGTCGCAACTGAAAAGGGAGCAGAATATAGTAATTATAAACTCTCTCCAAATGGTAGCAGGAGGTGGAAGAGTACTGAGAGAAAGCAGAATACAAGCCCTCCTGGCCTCAGGTAGGTTACCTCAGTTTCCTTATCTATAAAGCTGGCCACCTCTTTCTGAGAGCTGTGGATGTGTGGAATCAGAGTCCTTTGAAAATCTGATGTAAGCAATAGCTCAGGGGCTGAGAAACTGAAATGCGAGTGGAGAGGCTGCCTGGAGGGACTGGGGTGAGCTGGTTAGTGCAAACCTGCAAACCGTGTGGATAAATGGCTGTCTACCCAGCCCCAGTCGACAGTTCCCAAGTTGGAATAAAAGCCTAATATTGCCATATTATTTTTTCTTTTCCTTGGTAAAGAAAATACAGATTCTTTCCTGAATATGAAACCTCTTGGTCTTTACATTTTACTACTTGCTTCAAAAGATGTTTCAGTGTATTTTATGAGCTAACCAAAAAATGTAGTTAGGGCCTGCTTTCTGCCTGTGAACAGAAATGAATGTGTATTTTGTTTTCCACTAAGGGTTGATTTTCCTCTCTTTCTGCCTGTGCCACTCTCCCTTTTAGAATTTTTACTGGGATTTATTGAGATATAATTCACGTAGCATAGAATTCACCCATTTAATGTGCACCATTTAGTGGCTTTTAGTAAATTCACAGAGTTGTACATTCATCACCACAGTCAATTTAAAAACATGTTCATTGTCTCAAAAAGAAACCCATACCCCTTAGCTGTCTGCCCCAGTCTCCACCCCACCAGCCCTAGGCAAGCACTGATCCACTTTCTGCCTCTGTGGATTTTCCTACTCTGGGCATTTTATATAAGTGAACTCAAACAATATGTATTTCTTTGTGACTAGTTTCTTTTACTTGACATATGTTTTCAAGGTTCTTCTATGTTGTAGCATGCATGCCTACTTTATTTCTTTCTATTTAATTATCCATTGTATGAATACAACACATTTCATTTCTCCATTCAACAATTGATGGATATTTAGGTTGTCTCTGCTTTTTGGCTATGATGAATAATGGTGAACGTTGGTGTATAAGCTTTTGTGTGGACATATAGTTTCACTTCTCGTGGGGCAGATTTCTAGAAGAAGACCAGATCATATGTTTAACCATTTGAGGACCTGCCAAACTGTTTTCCAAAGCAGCTGCACCGCTCTGTATTCTTACCAGCAACCTAGGAGAATTCCAATTTCTTCCCATCTTTGTCAACACTTTGTATTGTCTGACTTTTTGATTATAGCCATCCTAGTAGGTGTGAAGAAGTATTTCATTGTGGTTTGGATTTGAATTTCATTAATGGCTAATGCTGTTGAGAGCCTTTTCATGTGTTCACTGGCCATTTGTATATATTCTTTGCATAAGTGTGCACAGTATTCAGATCCTTTGTGCAGCAATGATTATTGATCCAGCTCTTGAGATTTTGTCCTGAGAAAGACACATATTCACAGCCACATAAAAGTTGTTATACAGTATCTAAGGGTTCAGCACCCTCTTGATATCTTTCTATGGGTCTAAGGGTACCTATAGTGGGGATTTTTCTGGACATTTCTATGCTTGATCTTACTCATTATTACCTACTGGGACCTCACAGGATCTGTGTGGGGATCAGATGTTCGGGAAAGTGATTTCATAAACTCTTAAACACTATACAGCTTTAGGGATTGGTATAGGTGAAATTTCTGCAAGTAAGTGATGGTGCAATCAAGTTGTTAAGGGCATGAACTTGAGTCAGACTGCCCCTGTGTGAATCCCAGTGTCACATTTATGAGCTATTATGTTCTTGAGCAAATGACTCAACCTCTCTGACTCAGTGTCCTTATTGGTAAAATGGAGATTTTGCCAATGAGGACACTGCCCCTACTTCCCACCTGGGCAGAGTTAATGTAAACAGACTGCTTTGTATTGCACAGGTGGGTGCATAGAGACTGCTGAATACGTTGTGAACCTGCTGCCATGGACTGAATGTTTGTGTCTCCCAGTTCCATATGTTGAAGCCCTAATCTGCCATGTGATGATGTGATGG